CAGTATACCCAGGTGTGGGGTTGCTGGCTCTTTGGGTAGAGTATATTTAAATTCGTGAAATAGAGTCAGATGGCTTCTAGAATGGTTCTATAAGTTTATACTTCTACCCATGGTTCCCTCTTTCCCATATCCTTGCCAACACTTGTTAGGTAATAGATGACTTGTCTAACTTTTGCCAGTCTAATTAACACAAAGTGATAACAAGTTTTAATTTGCATTGCTTAGAATGCTTCTAAGGTTGAGCATCTCTTCACACACTGGCAAGCCATTCTGATTTCCCTTCTGTGATTTCCTGATCTATCTATCGTTCACTTTTCCATTGGGTTTCTGGTCTTTTTCGTGTTTATCTGCAGGAGTTTTCTGCATATTCCAGATACTAATCCTGAGTCTGAGCAAACTTGATTCCTAAAGTCAGACTGCTTCAGATCTTCTGTCCCCCTCTCTCTCTGCACCTCCCTCACTTGCACTCTGTCTCTTTCAAATATGGATATTAAAAAAAAAACTTTAAAAATATATACAAAATGAGAAGGAGGACAGAATTGGGGGAGGCTTCTACCACTAGAAACCTAATGGCCCCAAACTTCACACATAAGTGTTCTTAATCCGTATGAAACTAAGCTATTTTTTCTTTAAAGTTTCCATCTGCAATATTGGATGAGAAACAGGGTGAAGGGGGGAAAGCAAGCTGTGGTGGTATAAACTGCTTTATTCATGATGACTAAAACCTCTGTCTGTTTGAAGTGAACCTTTGCTAAACCTAAAAGGGTCTATTTTCTCAATAACTTGATACCAGCTTCTGTCACACGCCACAGCAGCTGCACTAAGCTGTGGGCTCCCATGTGTTATTTTTAACCCAAATACTCACTAGTACCCACTTGGTCACCAGTATGTGCACAGAAGTGTTTGGGAGCCTGAATGCTTCCATCTACTTCACAGGGATGAATGCCCCATGGCAAGAAGAAGCATGTTTAGTAACTGGCTGGGTAAGGCTTCTGCATGCCCTTGGAACAAGGTTCTTTAGTAAAAGCTGGGTCAGAGAACTCAGCTGTAACCAAAAGGCCTCAGCAAGCCTTCCTGTTCCCTTTGTCTGAATCAGAGAGTTCATGACCCAACCAGCTGCACAGAGGATGTCTGCCCTTCTCAGAGAGGCCAGGCCCTTTATGGTCCATATGGAGGCAGGAATCGGAAGAGAAAAAAATGGAGTCATTAATCCCCATGCAGCAACAGACCATTTGTCTCCCTGGGCTAAGCCATCTTGCCCTCAGACCTAGACTTGCCTCTTTTCCTCAGCCCCAATATCAGAACAATTTCTAAAACCCAGAGCATGGCATAAACAACCTTGAGGTAGTCAGAGTTTATTTTCTCTGAGCCTCCTTTGACAGCAGGGTCCACACGCTGCCCATCAGACCATCCCTCCCAGCCTTTCTTCACAGCCAGAGTTCTGGGCGCCTCCCCATCCTTGGTCGCTTTCACCCCCAGCCCAGCAGAGGCCGCTAGAGTAATGCAGATGGAGCCAGAGTTGGCGGGAATGGTAAAAGAAGGGCTGCCAACAGGGCCCAGGGGCTGGCATAATAGCCTATACTTCAGAAGCTCTCAGTCCAAGCACCTAGCTGGGACAGGCACTCTGAGCCTCCTGCTCAGAGCTCCCCTCATCCCTCTCAGAAGTGAAGACAGGGCCAGAGTACTTCCATTTTATTATTTTAAGAAATATGTTTAGTATTTCCATTTTTATGGCTCCTGATATATTTTTAATGCTCCCCAAAATTACTAAAATTGTGGTTTATTTAAAAAGTTTATACTTAGAAAATTAAACTTCATGATATCCTCCCCCACCCATACACACTGCAACATAATAGTACAATTCACAAGCTGTATGGAAATACTTCATAGCACACTACAGTTGGCATGATTTGGTAATGGGACAGGTTTGGGATGCATGTTTTCTGCATCCAGTGAATGAGACTGAATGCAGCTCTGTGATGCGTACATAACCCCCACATTTCAGATCCGTACTTAAGGCCCATCATAAATGTGAGACCCTAGCCAAATGGCCCTTCTAGTCCACTGCCTACTATCCATCCCTACCCTCCATGGACCAGGCCACAGTGAAATATTACACTAAGTACAGAATGGAGAAGAGGGAGCTGTGAAAGTTACTGGTCCCCCTCTTCCAGCTCCCAATCCATCACCCTTAGGTGGAAAAATGCACCCAGCAGGCTTGAGAAACATAGATGAATGGCAAGAGTGAAGCTTCTCTGCTCCCAGCTGTTTTCTGTACAAGTCTCTACCCCCCAAAACCTCTACTCTGGGCCATTACTCCCACCCCATAGGCCCCAGAGCCTTTTCCTGTGGTTGTGCTGTTTTTCTCAGAGCAGGAAATCTTCCTGGAAATTCTCCAGGAATCCAACATCCTCCTCCTTACCCAGGGGACACTAGCCTCAGGCGTGCAGCCCACCCCGCCCACCCCACCTCCTCTCTGGGCTGGGCCAAGAGGCCCAAACAACAGGAAATTATCTTCCCAGGGACCTAGCACTTGCCCTCCGAGTGCCCTGGGCACCTTCTCCTCAGCAACAGTCAGAACAACAACTTCTTGTCAATGAAGAGAAAACAACAACCCATATTTCCACAATGCTGCTTGTCTTCATGTCTCTTTTCTCACTTGGGACCTGGAGGCTGAGCACCATGGACCCCTCTCCCAATCTCCCCAAGATCTGTGGTTTCTGCTCTGGTGCTCAACATTTTCAACCTCTTCCTCCTTGTTCAGCTGTCAGAATCCCCATCTTCTCTGGTTGTCATGGGAGATGATAAGGCAAATGTGAATGACCGGCAAGGCCCCCAGTTTGCTCCCTCTCCTGAGAAGGTTATATTATAGACTAATAGCTCGGGGTATCCTAAAGAGCCTCTGCAACACTAGTTCTGTTGGATGCTCCGGGAAAATGGGGTTCATGGTCAAATATGTTTAGGGGACATCATATACAGATCCACAATCCTTTATCCACAATGTTAAAGTAAAAACAAAGTCCTGATTCTTTTCAGATTCTTTATTTAACCTACTTAGTGTGACTATCTGCAGAAGTATGTGATTACAGGTGATAAGTATGTGATCCACTCTGCTGGGGATGCTATGGAATAAGTAGTACATTCATTATAATATCTTATTAAAATATGCACAATTCTGAATTCTGAATACATCTGGCCCCAAGGGTTTTGGGTCCTGGATTGTGAACTGTATAAATCCCCTCATTTATCCTATCTATAGCATTTCAAGGCTCTGGAAAGATTGTAGACAAGAAACGAACCGTAAAGAGTACTCCCAAAACTTATTTGGCTACAAAACTCTTTGTTCCACTTAATATCTATTAATACCTCAAAGAATTTCCATGTGGACACTAGGAAACATAGGATATTCATAAGAATTTAACTCTCTAACAGTGGATTCTCAGACATAGGAAAAGGTGGATCTTCCTGAAAGCTTTTAGAGCCTAGGTCCTAGGGATAGTTTTTCCTTATTCTCAGGGATAACACTATGGGCAAGACAAAAAACTAGAATAAGGAAGACTGAGGCAAGACTCTGATGACTGATGTGGGCCTGGGACAAGGACAGGGCCTACTAGAAAACCCAATTAGGAGAAACACCTATGTCAAGAGTCAAACCAGAGAACCAGACAAGAACAAGGAGGGAAACAGGTAAAAGTTCAGCTAGAGATCAGATATCAAGACATATGCAAAATTTAAAGCACTCAGGAATCCAAGTACACACACACACACACACACACACACACACATCCTGGAAACTAAGGCAACTTTTGCCTCATCCTATGAGTTTTTATATGCCTCCTATAAAGATTCACCCATTCTAGAGTATAAAGTATAAAGGTATAAAAGTATAAAGGTATAAAGATAAGTGAAACTCCTGGCTGGTGTGTTAAATCAGTGAATAGGCAGTTAACCCACCTAATGTCCTCTCTTGACCCAGGTGGAAGGGATACTAAGGGGTTTATAAGAATAGCAGATTCAGGCAGTAAGGACTTCCAATATACTTCTTGTATCTCTGGTCTCTGGCTGCTGAATGTTATCATTCGTTGAAATTACACATTGGTAAAAAACATTGGGCTCAGGTACCACGTGTCAATAGGGCCAGAGCTAGGACTCTGGCCTGTCACAATATGCTAGCGAGGAATGGCCATCTTGGCTAGTACCTCTTAGCAGTCCTGGGTCTGTTAGGTGTCAGGAAACTCTTCAGAGTTAGTGAGTAACTCTAGGATAACTCATTAATGGCTTTCTCTGAGCTTTAAGGCTGGTGCTTGGGAGTAAGCAGGAGCACACTGGGAAAAGGATGTGCCAAATCCATTGCAGGCTTTGTTGTGGCTGACCCCTGCCTCTTGCTGCTGTGAGTACAGTATGTTCAAGGCCTTTTTAAAAATGTCTCTTCCAAAAGTCTCACACTCACCTTCTGGCTACCTCCCTGTGCCTGCCCTCTATGAATTATTCTCAATCTCAGGATTTCTTGATCCTGACACTATTGACATTTGGGGCCGGATAATTCTTTGCTGGGTGTACCTGTCCTATGCATTGAAAGATGTTAGTTACCCACTAGATGCCAGTAGCATCCCCCCAGTTGTGACAACCAAAACTGTTTCCAGACACTGCCAAATGTCTTCAGAGGGGCAAAATCACCTCCCTCTATTGAGAACCACTTCTCTATATGAATGAGGAGGTAGCATAGCAAACTGAATGTCTGGGTTAGACTCCAGTTCTGCCCTAGGCTAGCTGGATGCCTAGAATCTATGTTATTTCCGATAGGACCCTATAATATTTCTGGCTGAATTTAACCTCTCTGACCCTCAATTTCCTCATAAAATAGAGAAAAATGATAATACATAGTTCACAGGCTTGCTGGGAGGATTAAATGAGATAATTTATGTAAAAAGATCACAGTGCTTGGCACAAAAGAACATTCCAATACCTGTGGGTTATTATTTACCCCTGTCCCTCAGGGCTCCACACCTGTTTCAAAGTGACTGCTAACTGACCTTAAACCGCCTTATAAAACATCTTGATGTTTGACCTTCCCTCTCAAACTTCATTTCTTCAACATCACCCCCAAACTCAACACTCCAGACCTACTGACTCCTTGCAATTCCAGGTAAGCAGCCAAGATTTTTATGGCCCCTGTGGTCTTTGTGCACATATGTTGTTCCTTTTGCCTGGTACCCTCTTCCTTTCCCCTGGCTAACTTGCTACATACACTTCAAATCTCCATGTGGGCAGCTCCAAGCCCAGGAAGGCTTCACCTCCCAAGTCAGGGCAGAAGAGCCTCCTTTGCACTCCCTGGTTTCTCTACTTACCTGTCATCATGCTTCTGACACTTGCATGATCATTGGCTGGATATCTGAATTGCTCCCCTGACTCAGATATCTATAAGGCAAGGGATAGTACGTTGCCCTATGCAGAGTATCCAGAACCTAGCTCAGTGCCTGACGTCCAACAGGGACTTTGTAATGTTTGCACAATCAATAACTAACTTTATGAACTGCTTCAGCACTAATATGGAAAAAAAAAAAGCCCTCTCTTTTTCTCCTCCTTTCCAGATAACCATGTACTATTCTTTTCATTTGAATAGGTAATATTTGAAAATGGAACAAAATTTGAGTTATCAAAAGGTATATGGAGAATGGGGCACCTGGCTGACTCAGTCAGTACAGCATACAGCTCTTAATCTCTGGGTCATGAGTTCAAGTTCCACATTGGGTATAGAGCTTACTTTTTTTTTTTTTTCAACGTTTTTTATTTATTTTTGGGACAGAGAGAGAGCATGAACGGGGGAGGGGCAGAGAGAGAGGGAGACACAGAATCAGAAACAGGCTCCAGGCTCTGAGCCATCAGCCCAGAGCCTGACGCGGGGCTCGAACTCACGGACCGCGAGATCGTGACCTGGCTGAAGTCAGACGCTTAACCGACTGCGCCACCCAGGCGCCCCAAGAGCTTACTTTTAAAAAAATAAAGGTATTACCTATTTTTTAAGAAGATAGATAGATATAGATGTAGATATATAGATATATATATAGATATGGAGAAGAGTAAGTCTTCCTTTCCCATCCTCCAGCTACCTAGCCTTCCTTCCTAGAGGCCACTATAGTACCATGCAGCCTTTCATTGATGTCCAACTATGCACTTTAAATGGAGCCTTTGTAATCTAGTACTGGGCTTTCTTAAGTGCTATCCCACTGTTAGGACTCCAGTCCAGGCAACCAGCATGAGTCTTCCCCATTCTGCAAATCCTACTTTCCATATTCAAGAAAATGGATGCAACGGGACAGGAAACAAACTTTTGACCCTCTTCAAAGGCAGCAAGACAGGAGATGGCAGATGACAGAGATGACAGCAAGGGAGAAATCTGGTAGATCCCAGCATGGTCACCACCTCCATGTCTCCTAAACTGTCTACACACGCACGCACATACGTACACATACCCAGAATAAAAGCAGAAGTTGGACGCTCTAGGGGACATCCCCAGGAGCACTGTCGCCTGCAAAGCCCCACCCCCCTTCTTGCTACCTTGAGAAATCTGAGGGAGGGGGAGGGTCAGGCCCAGCTTCCAGCTTCCTCCTCCCTCCCCATTAAGAGGAAGCAAACTTCAATGCTTAGTCATTTCCCATGGGGTAGGGCTTTACCTGGGGGTCTGAGTCACCATACAGGTGCCAGCAAGGAAGAGGTGCTGTCCGATATGACACATCTGCTTGCCCAGGAAGGACATTAGCTACTGGGGGTTGTGGTGTGTACCAATCTGACCCTAGATGCTAAGAACCCATACTGTTCTGTGAAGGACTTTGGAGTTCTAGGCCAAGGGCACGAACTTAGGGTAGAGAATTAAGGCTCCTTTCCTTATCTAACACCTTTTCCTTTCTCCTTCTCATTCCCCTCCACCCATGGGGAACCCATGGCTGGTTAGCCAACCTGGCCTTCAGCTCCTAGTACCTTAGTAGGCAAAGCCACAACCTCCCTGAGAGGACAGAGGTAAGTCCCAGGCACTTTATGGGCCTTCAAAAATGTTATTTCCCTTCTCCTCTCTGAGTTGAGGAGAAAGTCCAGGACATGAGGAGCACCAATGAGCATACTGATCCCAACAAGTAGCCTCAGCGCCTGACCAACATTTCAACCATGCCAGGGGCCTCCTGGAGCTGGCCAGAGGTGACCAACCAAACCCTGGGAGAGGCTGGACTCTATACTGGAAATCTTCACCTTGGCATGACTTTCACTGTGCCTTGACAACTATTTCCACTCCTATTAAGCTGCACTAACTGTAGTAGGCTAAATAATGGCTTCCCAAAGATGTCCACATCCTAATCCCTAGGACTTATAATTCTACCTTACATAGCAAAGGAGACTTTGCAGATGTGATTGAGTTAAGGATCTTGAGATGGGGAGATTATCCTAGATTATTCAGGTGGGCCCAATGCCATCACAAAGGTCCTTACAAAAGGGAAATGAGGAACCAGAGTGAAAAGGGGGGAGGTCTTGATGGAAAGAGAGGTCAGAGTGATATGGGACCAAGAGCCAAGGAATATAGTCAGCCCTTAGAAGCTGGAAAAGGCAAGGAAACAGATTCTGCCCAGAACCTCCAGTCTTGCTGGCTCATTTTGGACTTTTGACCTCTAGAACAATAAAATAATACATCTGTTTTCTTTTAAGCCATTAAGTTGGTGGTCCTCTGTTACAGCAACAGTAGGAAACTAATACAGATTCTGATACTGGGAGAGGGTGCTGATGTAACAAATACCTTAAAAGCCAAATGGCTTTTGGAATTGAGCGGTAGGCAGTGGATGGAAGAATTTTAAGTGTGATAGAAAAAAATCTAGGTTCCCTTGAACAGACTTGTTAGTAGAACTATAGAAGGTGAAAATTCTGCTAATGAGGAATGAGAATTAAGTGAGGAGCACAGTAGAGAAAACCTATATAGTTTTAGAGAATATCTAAATCATCATAAACAGAATATTAGTAATAATATGGACATTAAAGGTGATGCTGGTAGGGGTTAGAAGGTAGTAATATTTTATTGAAAACTGGAGGAAGGAGGGGAGCGGTCTTTGTTATATAGTGATGGAAAACTTACCTGAATTGCATCCTTTAGTTATATAGAAAGCAGAACTTGTGAGGAGTGAACTTGGATATTTATCTTAGGATATTTCCAAGCAAAGTATCGAAGGTGCAACCTGGCTTATTTTTGTCTTTATAGTAACATGTGAGAGGAAGGAGATAAATTGAGAGAAGCACTATAAACAAAAAGGGGAGGTGACTGGGTGGCTCAGTCAGTTGAGTGCCTGACTCTTGATTTCAGCTCAGGTCATGATCCTAGGGTTGTGGGATCAAGCCCCATGTCAGGCTCCACACTGAATGTGGAGCCTGCTTGGGATTCCCTCTCTCTCTCTCTCTCTCTCTCTCTCTCTCTCTCTCTCTCTCCTCTGCTCCTCTCCCCACCCCCCAATAAATAAAAATGAAAGAAAAAGAAAGGAAGCAGGAGTAATGATTTGGGAAATTCTCAGCCTATCCAGATTGGAAAGGATGCTAAAATTAGGAGATTCACTGTCAGGAAAGAATTCTCTGGAAAGAAAGCCAAAGGTGTGACTAGACAACCTTTTGTTAATGCCTTGGAAAGATCAAAAGGTCAGAGTATTCATTTTCTCAGTGGATTCTTAGAAAATATTAGGCATGTGACTCATGTATCCCCACAACCATCTCAGCAGAATCCAGAAATAGGGGTGCCTATGTGGCTCAGTCAGTTAAGCATCCGATTTCAGCTCAGGTCATGATCTTGCAGTCCGTGAGTTTTAGCCCTGCATCAGGCTCTGTGCTGACAGCTCAGAGCCTGGAGCCTGCTTTGGATTCTGTGTCTCCCTCTCTTCTGCCTCTCCTCCACTCATGCTCTGTCTCTCTCAAAATAATAAACAAACATTAAAAAAAAAGAATCCAGAAATAGAGGTTGGGTCATCTAGGAAAAAATCTATGGAGGAGACTTTTGTCTAATGGAGTGAATGCCTATGACATGTATGGGAGACCCACAAGGTTCTTGTGAATTTTATACTGGCAGAAACACTGTCAACTTGGATTAAAAGGGATAGAGAAAAACAAAATGAAAGAAGGTTGCCAGACTCTCAACATTCTACAGGCAAGAAACAAGATGATAAAATAAAATTATTCAAGAAAAAGGAAGAACAACTGAGAGAGGAGGGGTAAGCCCAGATGTCAGAGTCTCAAGCCACAGGATTATTCTCAGGCCTTGAAACCTAAAGGAGTTTGCCCAGCTACATTTTGAAATTTCTTAGGAGCAGTGACTTCTTTTTTATTCCATTTTTCTCCCTTTTTTTTTTTTTTTTTTTTTTTTTTTTTTTTTTTTTTTTGAGTGAGAATATCTATAACTAGTATTCAGCGCCCATCCTGGGAAGCAGATAACTTGTTTCTTGAATTTCGTAGGTTCACAGATGGAGAGAAAATTGTCCTCAGGATGGATTGTATCCAATGTCTCACCCATGTCTTATTTAGAATATTTAGATGATGAGATTTGAGGATTTTGAGCTGATGAGATTTAGATGATATTTTAGACTGAGTCGATGCTCTAATGGGTTGAGATTTTGAGGGATGTTGGAATAGGTATGTGAGTATATTTTGTATATGAGATAAATGTGAATCTTTGGGGTCTGGAGGGCAGACTGTAGTAGGCTGAATAATGACCTTCAAGAGTATCCACCTCTTGAGGGGTCTGGGTAGCTCAGTTGGTTAAGCATCTGACTCTTGATTTCAGCTCAGGTCATGATCTCATGGCACATGAGATCGAGTCCCACATCAGGCTCTGTGCTGACCTTGGTTCCGGCTTTGGATTCTCTCTCTCTCCCTCTCTGTCTGTACCCCCCTCTCTCAAAATAAATAAATAAACATTTTAAAAAATATATCCACATCTTAATCCCTGGAATCTGTGAATATGTTAATTACACGGCAAAAGGAACTTCACAGATGTGATTAAGTTAAGGATTTTGAGATGGAGAGATTATTCTAGATTTTTAAGAGATCTGGATCTCTTACAAGGGGATCCTTATAAGAGGGAAACAGGAGGGTCAGACTTAAAGGAGATGTGATGATGTGGATTCATGA